AGCTCCCTGCCTCACAAGCATACTAAGGAAATGGTCTTTAAGTGGCGGAAGCTGTTGCAGGCTGAGCAAAACTACTGGACTGTGCAGAGCAAGGAACTTCGTGAGCACCAAACCGAGCAGTGTCTGTGTGAATCCCTGGCAGGTGTGCGACTTGTGCTGTGTGTGATCGAAAGGGAGGGCTGGGGCCGTAATGTGAAACCCTGGCCTGTGTGAGACTTGTGCTGAATATAACCTGATGAAGGGCAGGGGCTGCTGTGTGAAACCTTGGCATGCATGACACTTGAGCTGTGTGTAATCTGATGAAGGGCAGGGGCTGCTGTGTGAAATCATGCACAACCTACCCTGAAACATGAATGCAATGCCCTCTGTAACAGCCGTCTCTTACCTTAGGAGGGTCTCGTCCACGATTGACGACCCAGCATTAGGTGCGAGAAAAGACACAGGAAGTTGGAATTCGAAGACATACATCGAGAACGGTGACAGTGGAGTCTTGAACATCCGAACACTGGTATAGTGATATGAAGAGTGTCTGGCCGAAGCACTTCACCTGGGTGGCTTAAATGCGGCCCACCTGCCGCCATCTCCATTCCTGTAGTCTTGGTGTCGCATGCTAGGTTGTGATAGCGCAACAGAAAGTGAGTTTGTACAGTTAACAAGTATGGTTCGTAACTACGGGACTGTACCGTTACTGTGATTAAGCTTTAATAGCTTAAAGATATTCTAAGGTAAATGTAGCTTGCTACATCCCCCCCCTTCAGAAGCGAACCGTCCTGGGAGCGTCACCTTTTTCTTGCAAGCAGGTGCTTTCCGTTTCGGTTGTTCTGGGGTGCTGTTCTGGGGTGCTACCGAAGGAGAGGTGGTCGGGACCACTTTCCTTTTTGGTGTAGGTTGCCCGGATTTTGCCGCCAACCGTCGTTCATAGTCGTCAATAGCTTCGGCCAGGGGAACGGACTGACGCAGGGAATCTTCCGGTTCATAGGTGTTACGACTGGAGTCATAGCCTTCCCATTTAACCAGATATTCTAGACGTGTTTTGCCGCTTCCACCTCGGATTTTCACATCACGATGGTCAAGTAGTGCCTCGACCATGTAATATGGCTCTTCATCAATTATGAATGGGGGCGGCGGTTGTCGTGTTCCATCATCCTTGAATGGTTTGAGCAAGGATACATGGTGGAAGACCGGATGGAGTCGGGAAGTCGAGGGTAATCCCAATTTTACCGCGTTCTCTCCCACTTGAGCGACAACCTTATATGGCCCAATAAACTTAGGCAGTAATTTCTTTGCTCCAGGAGATTTCAACTGGATCTTGCGGGTGCTGAGCAGCACGGAGTCCCCAACCTCAAAACGCACCGCACGCTTGCCGACGACATTGCACTGGCGGGATTGCGCAGCCTTAAGACACTGTTTTGCGTTCTCAATACTATTGAACGTAGTACGTTTGCGCATGACCTTGGGATAGAGGTCAGCGGCAGGCACTTTGGTTTTCAGGTGCTTGTCCTTCTTCTCCAGCCACGCGCCGTCGCGCTGCCCCTTCACGACCCGCTGCATCTGTGGTCGGGGCGTCTTTGTGCCGCAGAGTGTGCACACGTGGGGTTAGGAGTCTTAGCTGCAGCGCCGGGGTCGCTGCTGCCATCGACCTCGACGCCCGTGTTTACTGCCCCATCGCGATTGTCTCCATATGAAGAACGTTGACGTGTGGCCCGCTCGCTGTTGACAACCGGAGTGGCGTCATTGTCGTCGGCTGGCTGCAGCATTGCGCCCACATTGCCTACGACCTCTAGGCCGTCTTCATTAACGTCACTAATCGCTTCAGTAAAGTTTAATATTTTCTTTAATGGCCTTTCACGCTTTGGGAGCTTCGGGTCCGAATATTTTGCAGCGTTTGGTCCGGTCAGAAACAGTCCGATTCCTCGTTGACTTTCGGGCGTGACCTTCCTAACAGTATCCGTGGCATTAAAGTACTATGATATGGTTAACATGTATGTTTCCTGTAAGATTCTAGCGGCTTTGGCATAAACAGTCCATTTTCGGCTGGAGGAATGAACTTGTACGGTCGGAACATTATTTATTCTTAATTTTCAGGACCGCGAACAATTTTTTATTCCGAAAAAAAAAGGTGGCGGGGGCCCCCTCCACCCGTACAGGCCGGTAGCTATGGTAGTGTCAACGTGGTGGGAGCTGTGCTTGTTGCAGCAGTGCTGATGCTGTAGGAGGTATGTTTGTCAGAGCGCGGGAGGCAGGAAGCAGGGGCTCATAACCTGTTGAAGAGAGGTAGCCATAGCCCTCAGACCTCAGACTCAGAAAGCTCAGAAAGGAGAGCAAGAAAGATAGAGAGAAACACTGCCGTGTTCCTGCCTTACTTTTATTTACTTGCTCTCACTTTCTTCGGGAATTTATGGCATTGAACGTCTCTGCTTCGCTGCAAGTGTGGACAGTGATCCATTGCAATTGGCTCACCTCTCAACCGTAAAAACGTGCATTCTATCTTCGACCCCCACACACAATCGCATCTGTAGATGCTCGAATCAAGGTGTTTAAGCACGGTATCCCTGCTTAAACTCTTCCTGCCGTGCCATATGGCACGGTATTGCAGAATCGGCCAGGGTGTGCAACTTTGTCAGCCTGCTTTTTATGTATCCAGTTCTATGTATCCAGTTTTACTTCATTTCATCATGTACCCGCTATAAAATTGCATTGGAATTTTTTACGCAATTGCATTGCCATCGCCTCGCGCCTGTACGGCAGTGTGTGTTTCCGTGTCACGGCACCCTTGTATTAGGACTGGGGCCCCGGTTACCGAGCCAATCACACGATTACAGCTCCACAATAAGGATTACGACACGGCCAAGAGGATTAGGATTGCGGTCCCCCCCCCAGGATTAGGATTGGGATACTGCAACGGGATGTGGATTACAACCGACCGCCCCTAGGATATTATGGATAAGACCACCACTCTGGATTAGGAATTAGAAGTGGTCTACCCCTGTTGAGATTAGAGGATGGCTGACGGTCGATGGTCGGTAGATGGCTGACGGTCGACCGGTACCCACCCCCTGGATTAGAGGATTAGGAAGGACCCCGTTGCAGACCTCTGGATGTGATCAACTAGGACACGATGTATAAACGATTAAATTACTTTTTACCGTCGGATAATTCGATTACATAGAGCTCTATGTTTGCTGCTGCTGCTGTTGTTGTGAAATACTGCTCTGCTTTGCGGTGTGCTGCGCGCATGCTAGCGAGCACAGCGCGCGTGGTGTATATGTCTAATAGTTATCTGCGTCTTCATCCGTATACATAAGACGTCGGTAATCAGTGCGCGTGCATTAATGACCACCACCACTCAATCGTTTGGCGTTACGCACCACGTACACATGTAGGCTTGTTGGCTACTGCTGCTGCCGCTGCTACTGCTGTAACGCTGTACTCTTATCTTGCGTCGTCCATACGTCGCATAATGGAGGAGTATATAAACTACAACTCATATCATTTGTTTTCAGCCATACGTATCTATCACACCATGTCACGATGTTGTAGCTGTCCATATGTGGTATCTTGTTGGTGCGGGATCTGCGGGACATCCGCCGATCTCGGTACTTTTCTGTGTAGTCGCGATATATATAACACCATATTCCTACTGCACATATACACATATACATACACATATACATAAATTGCGCGCAAATAAGACGCTCCGTCAGCATCTTCAGAATCCTTTTAAGCGTTTCACCAGCAGCAGCTGTCTACGTACTTCACATGATCGATGCATATACATGCGAAGCGCATTGATAACATACAGTAACACACTGCCACGCCCGCCGGCCCAGCCGCAGCCAGAGACGACTTCAAACAATTAATAGCCGCCGTACACGAAACCGGCCTTAATAATCAGCCACCTGTCGCAAAAAAACGGCGGTCTCTAATATCTAACTCCATGCACTTCATACCCTCTCATCATCCGCAAAAGTTCAAAAGTGCGTTTATTGCAAATATGCAGATATTACATACATATGCATGCTGCCATCCCCGCAGTTGGTTTTATTCCCTCTCACATATACATATATACATACGTATATATGCATTAAACACACACTCCCTGCTCTCTCACTCGCTCCGTTTTCGATGAACCAACCCCAAATGAACTCAAGGCCCCCCGTCCCCTCGTCTATATCTTCTTTGTGCTGATGATCCTACCATCATCGCCAAAATGCCTGACGAAGTCCCCACCACGCCTATCAGTGCTGTTGAGCACCACACACACACACAGCAGCAGTAAAGTAGAAGATATAGAGGCAGCAGAAGACACAAGAGAGAGAAACGAGCGCGACACCGAACGAGCGCAATGACAACAATGCGTAACAATTCGCATCGCCATCCCGCCGTCCCGCCATTTATTAACACCGCTTCCTCCTCCTCCTCCTCCTCCTGCGCCTCTGGTTCAACTAAAACCAACACAATCAACACAACCAGCACGCGACACTTCACTTCATGATGTTCCTCATCACCCACCTTCACGGAATGCCCCAGGAATGCCGTACAACCCCGCGAATGCCGTACGACCCCGACAAGATTGATTTTGTCACTAATAATACGAAAGAGAGTATTTAGAGAAAAACCGCGCGACACGGTGACAACAGCGACAACAAACCCTAAGTTAACAACTAACAGCGGTAACAACAACGACCCAAGTAGTAATTTGATATCAAATACCAGCCTTGTGTAGCAGCCCCCACCGCAAGAGAGCCCAACCACACGTCCACACGTCCACCGCACCCTTTATCCCTTTCCCCACCCTCCGTGTGTGTGTGTGTGTGTTTGCAATCAGAGTCTGTCCATTCCCCCTGGAGGTTAAACTCTGAGAGGTCAAACCCGTCACATCAACCGACCGCTACGTGCGCGCGCTTGTGTGTGTATATGTGTATCCCTCCTTCCCCCCTCCTTCCCCCCTCCTCCCCCTCCCCTTTCCCCCTCATTCGCTTAATACACTCCTCTGTGCTCTAGCTCCGTGTGAGCGGAGTGAGGGCGCCGTTGGCGCCTTCAGAGCCGCCGCCAGCAAGGGAGCCGCTGGCGGCAGGATGGTCTCCTTCTTCTTGGTGGTGGTGGTGGTGTTGTAGCGCGAGTGCCTAGTGAGGGCCCGACGGGGTAGGTGTGGCGAGGGGGTGAGACAGGGTTACTCGTGGCGGAGAGTGGACGTAGGTTGTGTATGTAAGTATGTATGTAAATGTTTGTATTGGAAGAAGGGTCTTGGGGGAAAGACGAACCACACGCGATTTAAGGGTCTTGGGGGCGGGGGGAAATCACGTGCATGGAAACCCTAGTAGGGTTGGGGGAGGGTGGGGTATAAATAAGTAGGGGGGTGGCAAAGTGAGGAGGCCGGGGGCGGCCACCCAACACGACGGGGGTTTCGAGGGGAGAATTTGTTTGGGGGGGGGTTGGGAAAACACGACGTATCCAAATTTCCTTTCGGGCTGGGTTTTTTTTTGTGTGTGTGTGGGGGGGAAAGGTTGTGGGTTCGGGCGGAAGTTTCCATGTCCAGGTGTCTTATTACGTATTTTCCTATTGGGGCCTCTCTTATAATTGTAATTGTAATGTTCCCTATTGGGGCTTCTCTTATGTACGGACGTCCTGTACGTCACGTACCCACCTCCTGCAACAGTACCAACGACTTGACCACCTCAGCAGCCGCGGGTCGACGGGTCGGCTCCCCCGCCCAGCACGACATCAGCAGCGCTCTAAGTTTCTGCGGACAGCGCTCCTCCGTCATGGGGTCGCCCATGGGTAGACGGGACTTCAGCACACACACTGCGAACGCGATCTGTTGGCGGTTGTGGCGGTTGTGGTGGTTGTGGCGGTTGTGGTGGTTGGGTTGGTTGTGGTGATTGAGGTACTGATTAACATAATACTGAGATTCTGGGTGGTGGTTTATGGCGATATGATGGGTGTGGGTGTATGTGTATGCCGGGAAGTGGACTGGGAAGGGGAGGTTGGCGATATAATGATGGTATCTTCCACCCCCCCCCCCCACACACACACACTTGGGCATTAAGTCAGAACTGCCAATCCCGTACACTGACCCCTCCTCACTGACCCACGATTGCCCTCTCATAGTGTTTACCCGTCAACACCCTGAAGTGCTTATTGTGGGTTACAACCGCCAACCGCCAACCACCCACCTGTGCCGTACTGCTTCCTTCCCAGGGCCTCCTGCCCGACAGCATCTCCCAAAGGATCACGCCGAACGAGTAAACCTCCTGATCGGTTAGTTGGTTAGTCGGTAGTTAGGAGAGTTAGTTGATTGGAAAGTTGAGTGTTACGTTAAGAGTCGGATGGGCAGTTGGCAAGACGGTTGGTTTGTTGGCTGGGTAAGCAACCGACACTGCGCAATAAAGAACCGCTGAAGAGATGATGATACGAATCCCGAATGTTGGTCACTACAGACAGACTGACGGACTGACGGACAGGGCGCCTGATCAGCCCCAGACAGACAGACTTACAGACTGACAGTCGATGCAATTGAATAGAATCGCAGGCAAATAAGAGGTCCTAGGAAGGCAGACAGATAAACGGACAGACAAACATAGGTAGACAAAGGTCAAGACATCCAGACAGACATCCGGACAGAAAGACAGACAGGCCCACTCACCGCTCGATCAGTCATGGTGGGGTTTTGCATGTCAAATGATTCCGGCGCAATGTACGGCGCCTGAAGTACGACAACCATGCGAAAATTGGTGGGTGAGAGGTAAAAGAAATCTCAGGTGTGACATCGTTATTTGACAAATTGAACACAAACATCAACAAACTGCCAGTTTAAAAAGAAAGAAGTAAACCAACTACTACTCCATCTCCAACACCACAGAAGATGCACACCTCGACCACATCAACGGACTTCATGCGATGCCGTATTTTTCAGTACGGCATCTCTCCTTACCCCGAGATTACCCGGTTGTTCTGCCCCGTCGCCCCTACTAGGAGGGGGCGACTAGAACGCCCAACACATAAAACACAAAAAACACATAACACGTGCACGCTCCCTCTCGCCTAATTTGCGGTCCATCACTTAAAAAAAACCAAACATGCTCTGATGCATTTTGTTGTGGCAATGTTGTTTTATTTTGTCCTCCAAAAACCGACGACCCCAACCACCAACAGAACATACATACGTACACACCCTCTTACAGAATAACTCACCGTGCCGATCTCTGCGTTTTTGGTTGCATGTACGGTAGTTTGAAGCCTCGACAGCCCGAAATCCTGTTCACATTTACATACATACATACATATGTACGCACACGCATACACACATATGTTTGGCCGGAATGCGTATTGAGAGGAGCTTATTATTTGTCAGGGAAGGAGAAAGGGGGGAAAGGAAGGGGGGAACTCCTATACCTTCCTCCTCAGTTGCTGCACTCGCTCAATGCTCTATCAGGCTAATTTCTATTACAAAGACAGGTAGACATAGATTTATATACAGACACAAACACACGTGCGGGAAAATTCACACCTATGGCGTTTTCCCCCCAGTCAAAAAAACACGAACACACGATCACACGAACACATGCCTCTTTTCTGCCCCATCACCCCTCTTCTCACTCCTCACTCATCTTGCCGCAACTTCCCCAGGAAATGTTCTATACCGTACGACAGCGCTGTGCGTCATCCATGTACGTTATCACTGTACGGCAACCCACCGCAAGCTTGGCCACGGGTTTGTCGCTGTACGGGTGAGAGATGAGCACGTTGGCTGGTTTGAGATCTGGGGCGTCGTACACACACACATACACACACGTGTCATACACTTAACAGGCTTACATTAGGAGAAAATGGCACATACATACAGATATACATGCATGCTGAATTCTTTTTATATTGCAAAATCTTCCGTTACAACTTCTCGTCCCATCACGCACTTCCCGTACCCAGCTACCTCGGTGAAGGACCGTGGGGTGCAAGTACGACAACGCCCGAGCTACTTGTACTGCAATGTGGAGCACCTAAGGGGGAAAGGAAAAGGTTCGGGGGGTTGGGGGTTTCGGGGTGCGGTGTGTGTGGGTGTGTGTGTGTATGGGGGGGGGGGAGGTTGGGAGTCCCCCATCTTGCAACAGCCAGCAGGTGCTTTTCAGGTGTTCTGGTGTGTGTGTGTGTGTGTGTGTGTGTGTGTGTGTGTGTGTGTGTTCATTTTTTATATGTGCATGACAAGTAACGAGTATGAAAACCGCAGTAATTGTGCGATAAAAGTTTAACAGATGTAACCTGTATTACACAGTGTAGTAGGTATTTTTACCACTCTTACCGCTTACTCCGGCTCTGGCCCCCTGGAGCCGCCCCCCTCACCACTCCACGAAACACACATACACACACGTCCCTTCCAGTTCGGACCTACAAGCCCTGAACCCCCAGGCCCCCAACAATTCCCTCTTTACACACACCCCCAAAAATAAATGTTCATCCCCTCCACCCCCGACCATTATCACCCACCGACAAGGCCGCTGTACCTGGCGCTTACCGTTGTCAGTGGCAGTTGAGATCCCGGTTGTCGGTTGACATCGCCGTACAATAACTTCTCCAGGGACGTGTCCATCAGCTCCATCACCAAGCACACTCGGGGAGGCCTTCGAAGTGTGCGGTTGTACAAGTATGTATGTTGTTACATACATACATACAAGTATGTATGTTGTTACATGGTGAAGCTTAACCACCAGCGGCCCCCTTTCCCGGGGCAGTCCCTGCTCTCCCCTGCTAGAGGGGCACCCTAATCCGTTCACCCCATCCGACTTCAGAATGGTATGTATGCATGTATGTAAGCATGTACGTACGTAAGTATGTATGTGTTTTGGAGGTAAATGGGTAGAGGGGAGGAAGGGGAGAAAAACTGGGGGGGGGAAATGTTTGAAAAAATTGGTGTTGGATCCCGACTCGGATCCGCAAAATTTTATCCAAATCCAAATCCAAAGCTTTCCAATTCCAAGGTTTAAACCTAGCTCCCTATGTTCCTGGCCTGGCCATCCCTGAAGTGAACCTCCCAGAACCCCAGATGTACGTCAGTCCCGTTTAAAATTCCCAGATAATAAATCAAATTAAACTAAATTTCCAGAACTTACAAGAGACTTGCCGCCATTAGCCGTACAATGTTGGGATGTTGACACCTCGCAAGAACCTCCACTTCCTGGATAAACGCCCGCCACGCCCGCATCGCCGGATCCGCCTCCGAAACCAAACCCAGATTTCCCCCCTTCCCCTCCCCCTCATCCCCCCCTTGTCCCCCCCCAAGCACCGAAAGCGCCGCCACCCCCGTCGCACCGGTCAACAGTCCCGTATTGAGAAGTTTGACCGCCACTTGCTCCCCGCCGTACACCCCCTTTACGACAACACCAAAAGCGCCTTTTCCCAACGTCACTGGTAGTAGCTGTACGGAAGCCCCTACGGCATGCGCGTCTAGGTTTATGCCCGGCTGTAGCGGCGTCAGGGGGGTCACTGGCAGCAGCGCTAGCTCGACTGCCGTACAACGGAGCTGAGAAGATAACGGCACGGAGGGCATGGAGCCGCCTGCGGTGTTTTTTCAGACGGTACGACACACATGGGGGGTGGAGGCTGGCGTGGGTGAGGGATGTGTGCAGGGGAGAAAAGGTTTTACAAACTGCGCCGATTGGTGTCGTGGATGGTGTGGGGAGGTGTACGGGAGTCAACTTGGGAATGCAGTACGGTTGGAGACGGGGAGATGAAAGGGAGATGAAAGTGCCGTACGGATTCAGGTAATAAAAGTCCGTTGTACCAACCAAATGATACATTTCTCAACATACTCACTTCGTTCGCTACCATGTACGACAGTGGCTGCGCCCGCGCTTGCGCCGCCGCCGCCGAAAGCAGGCGCACCAACCGCCGTCGTCGCCGTCGACGACGCGACATCCACTTCTTGGTCATCCGGCCCACATGCCGAAACGCTCGCAGCTCCTGCACAACTGCCGTGCAGTACGGCAGGCGGCCCGGTTTCGGCGCTCGGGCCTAAATCCAGATCCAAATTCAGGTGTGGAACCCCACCCTCCGGCGAAAAAGGGGAGAGGTCTTCGTACGGCAGCTGCTCACGCGGTTCCAAACTAAAGCGGCACCGCACGGGGGGGAGGGGGAGGGGGAGGGGGAGACCCGATGCGTGTCGGTGTGTATTGGAGGGGGGTGGACCTTGGAGGTCTTCCTCACCGGTATGTGTGTTTGTGTGTGTATGTGTGTGGGGGGAGAGGGGGAGATTGGTTCCCCCCGCCCCCCGGACATGAGCCATAAACACACACATAAATACAGTAAATTTATTTTTGTTTTATAATAAACATGTTTATTACAAATAGGTTTAAGGATTCATAACAATAATAAACAGGTTTTAATAATATATATTTAAAAAATTAATTTTTTTATTTTTACTAATTTACATATAATATGCATATACATATACATACATGTAAGGGTACAGAGTACAGGGGGTATAGGGTATAGGGTGTTTAGGGGGTATACCACATATATATACCACACTGTACATGAATATACTGTATATATATACGCTTACACACATATATACATGTATATATATGAAGCTAGCTCACGTCACTGTCATTCCCAGCTCACTTCATCCCACAACTCGATTCACAAAAGAATACAATGTACGACATACACATTCACATACACGCACGATACACACACACACATTCTAGCTACGCCCCCCTTCTCCCCCCCTACCTCCTCTCACGCTCCCCAGTGCAGCCCTTAGAAGGCCCCTGGGCGCCGGCAGTAGCGCTCTGCCTCCCTGGACTCCCCGGCTGCTGCTGCCGCCGCCGCCGCCGCCACCGCAGCCGCGACGCCACGAGGAAAACCCCCAGCGCCAGAATCGTAAGGCCCCCCAATAAGCCTTACGATTGGGTGATTTTGTTTACAACCATGGTTTCGGAGCATAGGAAGATAACCACGGTTCCGGAGCCGAGTTGAAGCGTGGTTTTGGCGCATTGGAACCGCCGTGGTTGATTCCGCGGGTCGTGGGAACAAGAGGGGGGTTGGGTTGGGGGAGTAGCAAGAGGGGCAGGGGAAGGGTTAGGGGAATAGGGGGGAAGCAATGAGGGGGGAAAGGAGACGTGTAGATGCAGATCGCGGTTTCGGAGCCATGCTGCTAAGGGGACGAATTCAATTCCGAAATAGGTGGGAGTTTATCGTATTCGTCCCCTCTGAAACCCGCCACATACATACACGCACACATACACACACATACACACACGCACTCGTGAACCACCTCAAGCAGTCACATCTTTTACAGTTTGTTTTCAATGGAGACTTCCGACACACGTCGCTGCAGCTGATGACTACGTTGGCGCTCACTTGGGCGTGTGAAGCTATTCTCGGGTATGTCGGTATTCACCATATTCGGCATATGAAGTCCCTCGTCACGGCTCCTCCGAATTCTCCGAAGATGATTATAAAGCACACATACATACACACATACATACGTACACACACACGCACACGCACGAGCTACCCCCTTTCCCCTTACTCCCGCCACCCCCCCAAACTGCCCCCTAAATCTGCAACCCAAACCTCACCCCCTAGCAATGGCGCCAGCATCGACGAACTGCCACCACCACCACCACTACGACCACCACCACCACTGCTACCGCCGCTGTCAGTTTTAGCACTTTTCACTTCAAGAGGAGCAGAAGAAGGTGGTGGTGGTGAGGTCGAGGCGGCGGAGGCGGCGGCGGAGATGTAGGGCCATGGGAATAGGTGGTAGTAGCAGGCGACTGGTGAGACATACGACTGCACACACTCCTCCGAAATCACCGTCGCGCACTACATTTATTTACCACGTGAAGAAGAGGCAAAAAGAGGGAAGATACATACATACATACAAGAAGAGGAGAAAAAGGAAACATATCATAATCATCAATAACATCATCATCAAGAGAAGGGAAGTTGGACAAATAGGGAAGGCGCAGGAAATTTTTAAAATTATCAGAGCACATCCAGACACACAGGAAATATGCTAACGCGCTGCATAATATCCATAAAACGTTCCAGGATCGATCCCATCAAAGAGCGGGATAATTCTCTCACACCAGAAATGCCGAATGGATTCCCCCATGCCAAAAAAGAACGGTGAGGATGGCGGCGGTGGCCCCCCACCACTGGGAATAAACATCGGGGAAGATGGTCCAGGGGGGGGAACTCAGAGTTTGCCAGCAGCGGGGGCTACTAGTAGGAGAGGACACACACACACACACAGACACACACACACACAGACACACACACAGACAGACACACAGACAGACACACACACAGACATACACACACAGACACACACACACACACAGACACACACACACAGACACACAGACACACAGACACACACACACACAGACAGACACACAGACATACACACACAGACAGACACACAGACAGACAGACACACAGACAGACACACACACACAGACACACAGACATACACACACAGACAGACACACAGACATACACACACAGACACACACACAGACAGACACACAGACATACACACACAGACAGACACACAGACATACACACACAGACAGACACACAGACATACACACACAGACAGACACACAGACAGACACACAGACAGACATACACACACGGGTGTGTGTCAACCTGTCAAGCTGTAAATTAAGTGGCCGCATAAGTGCCTACTTCAAGTGCCCCCACTGTACCTTGTAATGGCAGTTCCGAAACCACAGCATGTACCCCGCTGGAACGGGTTGTAGATGGGAATCAAAGTTGTACGCAAACATAGCCAAGTCCCAATATGTTCCCACGGCGGCCCAACATCGCTGCATGACGGGTGCCGTACTGCCGTTCGCACAGTTGGGGGATTGGGGGAAGCGGTTGTTGGATTGGTTGCCCGGTAGTTGGGGTGGTCGAGGGAGGGAGGAGGTGGAGACGGTGGTGATGGACAGTGGCAGACATGTTCCTACGGGGTTCGGGGGGGGAAGGGGGGAGTACGGGGGCTTGGGGGTTTAGGACGTACATACATACATACAAGCGGCCATAGATACCGTCTAGCTGGCGCGCCAGCCCCCGGAGGGGAGCGCTGATGTGTGCCGGCCGTCGTTTCCCGTGCGGCCTGACCCGGGGCCGGAGTGCACGAGACTAACCAGCCGTATGCACCCGCCCCCCGCGCTGTGTTTCGGCCCTGGGCCCCCGGCTTTTCAGCCCACAATGTAATCAACGTCATACAGAGTGCGAGTGGTAAAAAGAATTTGCATAACTTGAGTTGGTTGGTAATGTTTGTTGGGCATGGTTGGTTAGTTCTGGTTAATGTTGGTCAGTTAGGTACTGGCGCGGAGGTACCTCGGCCGTAAGTCCCCAAGTGACGCTTCTGTGTGCTGCATCTAGTTATCATCCTCACACTTCAACAATTGCATTCACTAACCAAGTCCCAACCGAATTAACCAACTAACCACTCACGCTGCACTACAGCCATGTCATCCAGAAGCAGCAGACCTGGAGCGCTGCTCTGTTGTTCTCCTCCTCCTCCCTCTCCTCCCCCCTCTCCCCCTTCACTTGCCGCCCCTGAAGCTGTTCTCCCGCTGCTCGCTAGCATGTCGAATCCAGGCGCCTGGGGGGGGGAGGTAGGGGGTAATAACAATAGGTTTAAAATCAAACCTATTCTTTAAAATTTTGAAAATATTGGATGGTAAACATTAAATTGGTGGCACGAGTAAAACCCAAAAACGATGCTAAGAAGGACGGAGCAGGGCAGCGGGGAAGGTAATATGATATAAGCGTTAGAAAGGCGTCCCATCGTACTCATCGTCGTACAAACGTAGTCGTACAAAAGGTCACCCTACGACGCATATTCGCGAGCGAGCCATCGTACTCCAGGCCGAATGCAGTTCTCCCTACCCTTCGAGACAAACGATCGTGCTACCCTCGCCAACCCTCCATCGCTCCGAAACCATATACCCTTCGTCCCCCTCGCCCCAGGAATGCCCCCCCAGGAAGAACAACAGTTGAAAGGTCGTTCAATAACGGTGTGTTCATAACCCGGGGGGCCCGGAAACCCCCCCTCCATCCTAGGCCCTCTCCCCCCACAAACCTGAAAGTACGCCCCCCTCCGCCAGTTCTGCACTGCTAGGTGTGTGAACTTGAGCATTATGCCCGGGCCCAGTTTGACCTGCATGCAGCAAGAGTGGATTTGTTCGGGTAAGGTCGTTGCAGTGGTTGATCGTTGCAGTGGTTAATAGCGTGTCTTTCTGCTGGTGTTTCCCTATCGCTAGCGTACGAGTCCGTAGTGCCACTCCATCATCCTTTTTCCCCACCCCCCATCCCAGTCCACTACATACACACATACATACACACATACACACCCCTCTGCCCTCCCCCCCGCACACCGGGTGGTGTGAACCCCAACCATTACAACTATCAACGACTATTATTACCAACCACTGCAACGCATTCCAACGCGAGTTAAGCAGGGAGGGTGAGGGGAGGGGAGAAGAGGAATGTGGAATGTGCGCTAGACCGCACCTTGTCTACGTAAAAGCCCAGGTCCAGCAAAGGCCATCTGTCGGCATCGGAGTACAATCCTGACACGGTCATGTTCCGCCACAGCGTTATTGGCGTTGGGTATGGTGACCAATCAGATTCGGTCATGTTGATTTCGTTTGCCAGATACGCAAGCTGGACGGTGGTGTTTGCGAATGCGGCAGCCAAATCTGAACCCGTCCAGCAGATGACCGCTGCTTTGCTATCAAAGTACAGAGGAACGCTGATGGCCGGACCCTGCTCTAACAATTGCGTAATCATTTCCGTGGGTTGCAAATGCGCTGAAAGGACCAAAAAAGTGAGCAAGCGGAGGCACCAATGCACGCGGCCGCGTGCGAAGAGCGCAACTGCTTCGTAATTAAAAAACATACTTCTCATATGCTATACAAATATACAAACGTGTTAGCTCGGGTCCATAGGTTCAGCCAGCGAAGTTGTCTCGGTGCACTGCACTAAGCTTAACGTTACGATTGACGTTATGCACCATAGCATAAAAAGGGAGATCTTCTTGAGAGGTAGCAGCTATCGTTCGCCTCCCAAGGCATGACTACCCTACTGAAAGCACTCTTACAAACAGCCCGTTTTAAGATTCCGTCCAGTTAATATTTTAGGATAACATCACCGTAAATTATGCGGAGTAACGTAAACGATAAGTTTCGACACAAAAAGTCACGGCTGCCTCATCACGCAAAACACATGCATGCTTCGCATACACGCATCAATGATGGCGCAAGCATGCTTAATGAACAGCTAAACCTTTCTGCAACATGTTTCATGTTTGTTACTGAAAGGGAACCAGGCCACACAAATAAAAATGCCGCATCATCCACATCATCTACATCCTGCCGGCACTGTCGTGACGCCAGCAGCCTCGCAAGCAGCAGCTGCAGCAGCAGCTGCTACCTGTAAATAGATTACCAGGACGCGTCAGGATCTAAACAGCAGCAGGCCAGCGCATGCATGCTATGGCTGTAGCCTCCGAGGTGAGTCGCCTCATGAGTTTTCAAATTCAGACCAGCTGTTGTCACTTGCTGTGGGGAAGCCAATAGGTGTTTTACTTATCATCGTCACTAGCAGCAGCAGGATCATCATTACCATTTATCATAATCATTAGCAACAGCAGGAGCAGCAGGAGCAGCAGCAGCAGCACATCGGCCTAAATGAATCTTATCATCACTGCTGAATGCTGCTGAATGCATCATCATGCATCAAGGCCATGATTCATGCGCGTGATTCAGGCTGTTCAGTACTCGCCAGTGGTTCGTCTTTACCCCCCTCCCACCCCGCGGAGCTGCATCACCGCGGCATCAGCGACCACGGAGGGCTACAGCTACAGCTACAGCTACAGATCCAAGCCAGCCGTCATCAGGGACAGGACCCAAGCCTGCGAGATCATCACCAGCCGCCGCCGCCGCCGCAGCAGCAGCAGTTCTATCTATCCCCTACTCTTTCCTATCCGTATCCTCCCGTGTGCCCGACGACCCTGACCGCCGCATCCTGACCGCTCTGCAACCCTCTTGCACGACATTGTGTCCTAATTAGGCCCTGTTGGAGCCTTTCACAACAGGAATTGTTCCCGACGTATATATGGCTGGAAAGATAATCCATAACACACAGCACGGTGTAGCTCTAACAAGGAGGTAAAAGACAGGGATGTCTGTCTGTCTGTCTATGTATGTATGTATGTATATTTATATATATATATATATTTAATTGAACTAAGCCGCAAAGTAATAGATATATACTGTACAGGTAACACAGCGCGGCTTAGTGTCCCTAAGATGGTGAGAGACAGGGCTAGGGTGATGGTGAATGATCAGAATGTATGTATGTCGTGTGTCATGATTAGCAGAAAGGTATCCGGGATTACGGAGTCGATATAAACCTGCGCCTGCGAATAGTAGCGTGCATCAACAAGCTTTTAGGGGTTTTATATCAAAAGCAAAACCTCTATCGGCATCCTCTATCCGTGCGCCACTAGTCCATCGGTAGGATATTTGCCTTCCAAGCAAAAGAGCGGGGTTCGACTCCCCGGTGGCGCAGGTACAAAGTAATAATAATACCGTACATAACAATTATGAGGGAACACAATTCGATTTTGCACGTCATAAACGTATCCCCCGTGCCAACGGACAGGTAAAAGAACCGTTGCAACTGCCGACCGGTAGTGAGTGAAGGCGACGTCGCGGCTGGTTCGGCGGTTTCGATCGGGGAAAGTAGTTTAAGGGGGAACTCTGCCAGCAGAGCCTAGTGGGAGAGGACACACACACACACACACACACACACACACACACACAAGCGTGTGAAGCCAGAAGGACGAGGATTTCAAAACCCTAGAACCCTAAAGCGACCAACTACCTACCTAACTAACCTACCTGGAAGTACTTGACGTCGCCGGCCGTCACCTGGCCCCCCGGCAGGAAGTGCTCCACCAGCCGCCCGAGCTCCTCGCGGGACAACCAGCCCTTGGAGCCCCCGTCGAAGTGGGAAAACACCTGAGGGGGAGATTGCGTAAATGTGGGTGTGTGTTTGCGTAAATGTGGGTGTGTGTGTGTGCGGCAAGCAAACTAGGCAGGTGGGAGTGGTGTGTGTGTGCGTGTGCGTGTATATGTATGTATGTGTTTCTGCCGGCGCACCTCCTTGCATCTCATCCGGTGTTGCTTCAGGTAGGCATCCAACGTCTCAAACAGGGAAGAGGCCATGGACCGTTCCTGTCGGAAAAGGGGGAGGTGAGGATGGACGTGGGCGTGGAAGTGGCGTGGAAGTGGGAGTGGGAATTACTGAAGGTGGAAGAGGGAGGGCCGGCGGGGGGGAGGGCCGGGGAAATCGCGTGCGAGGAAAAGCAGGGGCGGGCGGGCGGTGGGCAGAAGCCTCCTTCTGCCTCTCCTTAGGGAAAAGGAGAGGGAAAAACCCTAGTACGGAAAACACACGACACGTGTGAGGCGAGTGTGCATTGGAGGCGTTGAGGACGCGAGGGGTAATGAAGGAGCGTCGCCAAGGCGCTAACATTTCCCCCATCATCCCCCTTCGGAGGGAGGTGGGCGGGTATGGCCTTTCTAGCTTCACTTTAGCTTCCCCCCATAGTACGGCCCCCCGCCTGCCGTACCTGGATTACAACCGTGCCGTCCCGGTACACGCCCGCCAGACGGGGCCACTCGCCAGCCTATCCAATACCGTTGTCGGTCGACAGTTTTGGCAGTTGTTAGTTGACGGATTCAGGGGGAACCGGGAACGGGGGGGCGGGGAGTTATTATATGGACGGGGGTCCGTACGACACTGGTAAGCACCTCGTCCTCCTGTATGTCTGTCAGGTGAGCCGTACAGGACGTCAAACGGCCTCACTCCGCGCCACAATAATATCAGTTCGCCGTTCACGGGCCCCTGGCTTTTCCGGGCGCCCTACTACGCATCTGTAACCGCGGAATTCGTACTGTGTACGTGCGTACGCCTCCTCAATCTGGTTCGTGTTCAAACCCCGTCACATTCACATTTGTTTAGTCTGTGGATACGTGTGGCTCGGCGCCGTGTGTTTTCCCCATCCATCGGCACTCCCCCCAACACCTACCTACCTACCTACCTATATATGCCACCTACCTACCTTGCCCCCCAGCCATCCCCCCCTCTCTCCCCCTGCTTCGTGGTTGTATGTATGTATGTATGTATGTATGTATGTATGTATGTATGTATGT